GCCGATAATATGCATGGCGTTCGCAATCAAATTCGAGATGCACAGACACATGCTCGTTTGAAAGCCGATTTGGTTGAAAATATTTGGCAAAAGTTTAGTGATCTCAATTAGTAATCTTTGTATCTTCATGAATTATCAATGTTTCGAATAAAAACTTTTATAAAATAAATAAAAAATTATATTTTCAATGTTCATGACTTCTTAAAAATTTAATTAAGTTTTTTTTATGTCCAAATTTCTTATTCTATTGAATATTAAATTTTTTAAAAAAAAATTATTTTTTTTTTAAAAAAATAATATTTTATTCCTATGAACCCCAACTTCGGGTTCATTGATGGAGGATTACATTTCATCTGGGTTCATCACTATTCATGGTCCCACCATAAATACAATAAAAAATACTTGTGAACCCCAAGGGGGGGTTCACTAATGTGGGTGCTCTCAGAGTCCCATCGACCTTGAATCACAAGCCACATCCACACCAAATAAGCCTTCTCTAAAGGTCTCGCAGACAATACACAAAGACACGCAAATTTTTGAGAAACTTCTGAAGCCGGAAATAAAGAGGGAGGAGAGGTCGTCGATTTCACCATAGCACCAACCCTCTTTAGAAACTCTATTTGCTAAATCAAACTCATCCAGCACCAAAGATATTGAGTTATCGAGTTGAACTGGATAGGAGAGGGTATCACTGATAGCTGGTTACACCAGAGAGGAAGACGAAAGAATATTGATTTCTCTCGCAGCGCCAACCAGTGCCACAGAGGAGAGGAGAAGAACGGTGGCAGACATAATTAAATTTCACAATGTAATAAAGGGAGGATAAATAAAAAAGCTAAAGACCCATTGATTTATCATGAGAATCTTACACAATTCAAACAGAAAGATAAATGACATATTTTCTTTATTACAACAAATCTTCGATTAGCTATTCAATAAAAGGTTTTAAAGAACGAATACTATTACTTCTGCTTTCCCTTGTCACCTGAGGCTGACGGCATTGAGGAGATTAAGAAGCCCGTTTCTTTGCAACATAAATGTTTATCTTTTTATCTCAGCATCGAGTAAACTAGCCGGACATTGACTCGAAATTGTAGTTGGGTCAACGTTCCGGAAAATCTAACCGGTTCAATCAGAAGTTAAATTTTAATCTATTTTTAAATTATATATATATGTGTGTGTATAGAAAGCTGTCGAAGTTTATGTAGTCGTATTCTAAGAGTGAAATGAAAATAAATCTTAAATTTCAAAACTAATATAAACATATCATGAAAACTAATTTATTTAGATATATAATATGTTTATATATATATAAATAAGATTTTCTTATGAAATTTTTTGACATTTTGAAAATTTTATTATATTAAATTTAAATTTGAGAAAATCAGGATTGAATATCGAACCGACTCACCGGCTTTAACGAGTTTGATCTTTTTTGACCGGTTGGCGGTTTAATTAAAACTAGGTAATAACCCGCGCCTTGCGCGTAATGTAATTATTAGTTCGTTATTTTTTAATAAAGAAATATTAGATCTGTTTAGTATAGATATCCTTTCGGTTTTAAATTTTTGTTTTTAATCTCAAAAATATAAAAATCCTTCTAAATCAATATTTACTTTGGTTTGTTCGGGATAAAATGATTGCTGCTTTTGGTTCTTCCGGTGATAAACAAAAAAATTATTATTATCTATTTGGTTTTCATGTTTACATAAATTTTAGATAGGTAATAACCCGCGTCTTGCGCGGAATGTGATTATTAGTTTCGTTATTTTTAATAAAGATATATTAAATATGTTTAATATAGATATCGCTTCAGTTTTAAAATTTTGTTTTGTTTTTGTTTTTAATCTCCAAAAATATAAAAATCCTTCTAAATCAATACTTATTTTGGTTTGTTGGGGTTAAAATGATTGATGTTTTTGGTTTTTCCAGTGATAACCAAGAATTATTATTATCTGTTTGGTTTTCATGTTATATAAATTTTAGATAGTGCTAATGTCAAACAAATGATTTTATGTTATAATTTAAAAACTAAGGATAGTTAAAGAAAACAAAAATAAAATTATTAAGACAAATTATTTCATTACAATTTGGTCGATAGTGAAAAAAATATTAAGAAAAAAGTATTTCAACTTCTAAAAGAATTAGATACTTTAGTTGTGGTGAATATTTAATTATATATGTACGCACGTCAGTTAATATGCACATGCGTATCTAAACAGTATATAAAGGTGGTTGATAAATATATAAAGATAATGTTAATTAATATTAAATAATATTTTTTTCAAGATAACACATGAGAAAAAAATTCTCAAAATAAAACTAATTAAAAATAAATTAAGTCTAGACATAATGAAGTTTTTTCATATAAATAAAATCAAATTGTATCCGTAAATAAGGGTGAGCATGAATCGAATATCTGGATATTTGAAGGTATTCGTGTGGATTCGATTTGTAGCCACATGGATATTCATTGTCTCGGATATCCAGACAATTTTAGAATTTTAATAGATATCCGATTTGATCCGTAATTAAATAAAATTTCTTAAAATAAACTAAAAATCTAAGAATAATACAAAATAATAATATTTTATTACAAAATAAAACATATTTAAATTTTTTAATTCAAATACCTAATATAATAAATACATAGAAATATTGTAAAACTTATACAAATTATATTATATATATAATTATTTAAATATATGTAAATATATATATGCATATAACAAATCGAATCGGATATCCATTTCTACAAATATTAATATTTGTAATTTTCTTTGTTGTTTATGGATATTTCATTTTAGTAATTGTTTATTGGTCCAGCCATATCCGTAAAAAAAAAAAAAAATATATATATATATATATAGTTATGCATTTTGATTCAAACTGAAAAATTCGGATAATGTGATTTTTATTAGAACCTTACATGTGAGTATTATATCGAAAAAATCGGAATATTAATAGTGTGAATGCATTTATGTAAAATTTGGCTGAGAAGCTCTCTTTACGTTACACGTCTGCGTTTTCATTCTTAAATATCTGTGAAGCTGACACGTTTCCTTTAAAGTGAGAACGCATTGATTCCAATGTTTCTCCTTTAATATATAAGGAATCTTAATTTTAGCACAATTTAAGAACATGTATGTTAGAAGAACGAGTCACAGTCCGACCGACCAATCCAGTCTGATTTTGGAAACACTGATATATATACTTATATCTAATTTTATAAATACATAACTTATCCACCACATACCTAATAAAAAAATATAACATGATCCAGTAATGCAATATATGGTCTCAACAATAAATTAAAGTAGTATAAATGTAACTATTAAACTGTTCTGTTTAGATATGTCATTTATTTATAGTAAAATATACTTTCGCGCAGGGGCACGGGTCAAGTTCCAATGTTATCCTAAAGTATATCATTGAGTTTTCTTGGTTACTGTTTTAAATTATTTTATAACATAAATGTATTGTTTTTAATGGTATAATATCATTTTATCCTTTATTTAAAATAATGAAATATATTGAAATTTTCTTTTGTTAAGAATGTAAATATCATTTAAAATGAAAGTCGATGTTTTATTAGTGCAATGAACAAAATGTAAGATTTATAAACTTGAGATCATGACATAAAAAATATGGAAGTAAAAACAAATGATATTGTAGCTATAAGCTTAGTAGCGAACATAACTAGAAGTAGCGATATAAACTTGAAACACCTGAATGAAAGATCGAGCTGGGACTGGCACGTAAGGACACAACCAAAGAAAGTGAAAAAAAAAAAGCGAGTAAGAACTGATATATTCTCAATAAGTTGAGAAATCCCGCTTTCTCTCAATAAGTTGAGAAATCCCGCTCAGTGACCACTCTATATGGCCGAGCTGGAACATCACTCTGAAACCAGGATCCGTCCCTAGACAGGAAATAACTAATCACCGAGCTTTCTAGCGCTGTATTTTCACTGCCGAAATCGTCCTCTAACCCGGCTAGAAAAAGGTAGTACCATCACCACTTACTACCTCCTGTTGAAACTTTGTGAACCTTAAATCACAATAAAGAGAAAGGCTCCTTTACATTTAACTACTAAACGTGCTAATCAAATTCAAGACAACAAGAACTGCCAAATCTGAAAAATATCAACAATTGAGGTCTGGGAGATTTGACTTTAATGGGAGCATAGCTCACACCTACGTGTCACACTCAGAGTCCCATACACCATGAATCACAAGCCTTACCCACACCAAATAATCCTTCTCTAGAGGTCTCGCAGGCAATACACGAAAACGCGCAAAAATTTGGAGGAACTTCCAAAGCCGGAGATAGAGAGGGAGGAGAGGTTTTTAATGTCAATATAGCACAAACCCTCATTTGAATCTCTATTTGTCTAAACAAGCTCACACAACACCACAACGATTGATTTGTTGAGGTGAACGGGATAGAAGAGGGCATCACTGATAGAAGGTTACAGCCAGGGCTGGTCCTAGGCCAAGTCGGATAAAACATTTCCCTTGGGTCCCCAAATTCTTTAGAAAGAGATACATATACATAGGTCCCCGAAAAAAAATTTAAGCCCCCATATCCAACAAAAAAAATTTTAGTTGATATCGTTAAAATATCTTCTTAGGCCCCCAAAAACTCAGGACCCGAAGAGGAAGATGGACATGGCGAAAGAAGTTGGAGACCTCTCGCAGTGCCAACCGGCACCAGCAAGGCAAGTTGAAGAACGGTGGCGAGAATGACCTCGTAAATATAAGTCTGGGAAAGAAAATTGGGGGCACGTGTTGTAAAAGTTTTTGAAAATCAGTGGTATGCTAATCTCTAAAACTGATTTAAAAATCAATGAAGAAAAGTAAAGGGAGGATAACAGAAAATGCCCATTGAATTATCATGAGAATCGTACATAATTCAAACAGAAAGATAAAGACATCTTTTCTTTATTTCAAAAATCTCAGATTAGTTATTCCATAAAAGCTTTGAAAGAACGAATACTACTACTTCTGCTTTCCCTTGTCACCCGAGGCCGAGGGCATTGATGGTGATGAGGAAGCTTGTTTCTTCGCAACAGAATTGTTTATCATTTTTAGCACCACGTTGAATAAACTAGCCACAACCTTCTCCTTTTCAAAGTATTCGGTCATCTTCTCTTCTAATTCCTAAATTTTGCAAAAAAAATTAATAAGCAGTTGAACGTAGAAAATAAAAACACAGTTATAACTGAACCAAAATAAACGCTCACCTTCATTTGCTCTTCATCTAGTTCGGATGTTTTTCTAACTCGCTCGAGTTCACTTTTAATCTCTAGAATCTCAGCATCTGTAAGAACCATTTCTTCCTCTCTTTTTTTTTTAAAGTTGAGTAAAATACTTATACCTAATTGTTGTGGTTTTTCTTTCAATTTTGTTATGCTTGATCCTCTATTTATATATGTATATTGTGTCAAATGACTTAATACAAGGAAATAAATTGCAAATGTGGGTGATTTTATACTTTCCATTTTAAAATATGTATCTTTGAAGAAATATTTATTTCTATATATTGTACAGTTTGTAACAGTGTATGTGGAAGAACGAATAATCGGTAGTGATCCGCGCAGAGTAAAATAATTCATTATATTATTATTTTTACGTTATGCTAAAGAATTTTCCGTATTGCTTTTTTCTAGGGATGAACATTCAGATATCCATTTAGATTAAATTGATCTGTTTGAAATTCAGATTTTAGAGTTAGAAATTGGAATTTGATTTGGATATTTACGTATTTCGGTTTGTATTTTGTTTGAATAGTTGCGGGTTCTATTCGGGTTCGAGTTTAGGTACCTATTTTAAATATGTATTTTAACAAAAAAAAAAATATACTGAAGTCCTCAAAATAAAAAAATAAGAATAAGATAATACATAAAAACTGAATAATCTAAGACTAAATACTTAACTTTACATTAAAATTAGTTCAAATTAAATATTTGGATGGAGAACAAATAGATATTTTTAGTATTTTGAATGTGTTTTGTTATTTTAGATATTTACTTGTGACTACTTTGATAGTTTTTAGATATGTTAATATTTTAATTATATAAAAATAAAAATAAGTAATATATTTAAGTATAAAGTTTTGATTTATATATTTCCGGTGTCCAAAATATTTCAGGTTGGATCAGATTTAGGTGTGATTATTCGGATATTAAAAAGTTTAGATTCAATGAGTGCTTAATAAGTTTTAGTTTAAGTTTAGTGTTACTTTTAAATCAAGTTTGGTTTGTTCAACAAGGATATTAACCAGTAGTAGCATGGAGAGAACTTCAATTAACTAATATAAAACTTAAAAATGCATGAACCAAACATTAATTTGTATGCTTTGTAGATAAGGAATATTAATATGTCACACATCAAATGATTGTGAGGTTAACACATCATCATTTTTTTTAAATGATTTTGAGATTGTCACAACGTCAATTAATGTGTGAATGCATTTATTATAAAAAATTATATTTGATGATATAGAGGATTTCTATACATTACAATGCTTGGTAAAAAAAACATTTATATATACTAAAGCGCCTAATAATTCTTTGAACACACATCTCTATATGCTGTAGCATTTCTTGTTCAAAAAAATCTTATCCAATTTTATAAAGTGTGATGTGTGAAAAAAATATCATAGTGTTGAAACTTGATTTCCATTTGTCGTTTAGTTACGATCATCAGATAATTTAACCAGAGGTCAACTGATTTCAGAGCTGGCTCACTAATGGATCAAGCTAAAATTTTCCTACGAGTGGATGTATAGGTTTGGTGAAGAACTACTCATTTTATTCTTCTTATGACTTCTTTATCTTGTGCAACTGATGTATTTTTATTGGGCCATATTTCAGGTTAATGGATACGTAGATGTGTAGTATTAGGCATGTCCCATGGGCGTAGTATCCAAACTCGGAAAACTAACCGGAAAAAAACAAAACCGAAACCATACCAAAATTTATAAAAATGGTAACTATTTCACTAAGTCCAAAACAACACTAAAACTAAATCAGAATCAAATGGAAAACCGAATGGGTACATGAAGACTAAAAATATAATTCATTTACCTAATGATATTAGTTATGTTTAGTTATAAAACAATTATATACCCAAAAATGTAATTTACAAACAGAATTTATTTAAGAAAAATACCCAAATAGTTTTTTTTTTCAGAGTTTAACTTAGGCTTCTGATTTTTTTTGTCAGGTTTTTCGGTTTGAACTCCAACCAAATCCGAACTGTATGTAATTCAGTTGTGCTTTGGGGTTCATTTGAGACATACATATTTACACGTTCCAGACTTAGTTGGACGAACACTCAAATACTTCCCATCATGGATTAAATAACTGAGAAAATGTAGGCCATGACAGCTTTTATTTTTCTCTCGTCATAGCTTTGTTGATCATCTCTAAGGACTTACGAGGCGACCAAATCTGTGAAACTATAGAAACAATGTGCCTTTTTTGTTAACATATGAAACTTATTTATACAACCAAAGTCAACCGACTTGAACTACTTGTAATTATCTATACTAGATACAAGTATATCTAGAGGTTTAATGTATATCTCGAACTACATACGAGATTTATGTTTATCTTATCTAATACTCCAATATACTCCAAAACTTCCCCTCAAGTTGGAGAATGTAAATTGCATACTCCTAACTTGAACAACAGATTCTCGAAATGAACACTCCCAAGAGCCTTCATAAGTACATCAGCTATTTGCTCCTGAGTTCGCACCTGTACTGTCGTAATTAAACCAGCCTTAATAGCATCACGCACCTGATGACAACCCCTCTCTCTATGTTTTGTTCTTTCATGAAATACTGGAGCTGCAGCTATATACATTGCTGACTTACTGTCACAGAACAAACATACTGGCTCCGTTGATGACGCTCCCAAGTCTGTTAACAGCCTTCATAACCATTTTACCTCCCGTGTAGAATCTGCCATGGACCTATACTCTGCCTCTGCAGACGAATGTGACACCACATCTTGCTTCTGTGTACTCCATGAGATAGGCGAATCACCTACCAAAGCAACATACGAACTCAGAGAATGTCTAGATGTTGCACACGAAGACCAATCTGCATCACAGTACACTGATAAATGAAGATCCGATTGTGAACTCGGTAGAATTCCTTGACCTACTGAACCCTTTAGATACCTCACAACTCTCAACGCTGCATCCCATTGCCCTTCACGAGGTGTCTGCATAAATTGAGACAATATATGCACATAGTATACTATATCCGGACGCGTAATGAACAAGTATATAAGCCGTCCAACCAGTCTTCTGTACTTTCCTGCTTCCTGCATGAAACAGCTTGTGTCCAAGGAAAGCTGATGACGCTGTTCCATAGATGTGGTTGCAGGCTTTGAACCAAGTAAACCCATCTCAGTAACCAATTCCAATATATACTTACGTTGAGAAATCACAAAGCCCTCTTCTCCTCGACCAACCTCAATAGCAAGAAAAAATCTCAGCTTACCCAAATCCTTCATGTGAAAACATCTCCCAAGATAGTCTTTAAATTTGGTCAATGCTTCTATATCATTCCACAAACTAGTAGATCATCAACATATATAAGTAAACGCAGTTCATTGGAACCCTTAGCAAACATAAACAGCAAGTAGTCCTCATATGATTTGTCCAAACCAAAACTTCTCAAGCCCTATTGTGAGCTTCATAAACCAGCACCGAGGTGCCTGTTTAAGGCCATACAATGCCTTATGCAGACGACAAACCTTCTTAGGGTCAGAATGTGTAAAACCTTGCGGAAGCTTCATATAAACCTCTTCTTCCAAATCACCATGCAAAAACGCATTATGCACATCCATTTGATGCACAATCTATCCTTTTCCTGCAACAATTCGTAAGAGACTTCGAATTGTGGTCATCCTAGAAACAGGTGCAAATGTCTCTGAATAGTCTTTTCCTTCTACTTGACGATTTCCCAATGCCACAAGACACGACTGTTATGGTATTTTTTTGTAGGTTCGTTTTAGTACTATGGAACACAAGAAGATTTGTATGAACCAAGGAGAAATCGAAGAGAAGTAATAGAGAAGGAGACGTTTATTGAATAATCGAAGGGGGGGGGTACAATGTTTGGTGTATAAACCCTAATTCTAGCCGCCTAGATCTAGTCTCTCAATCTCTAAAAGTGTACATCCCTTATTCTAGGGTTTGGGTTCCCCTTTATAGGTGTAGATGTCGGCTTGCATTAGGTTAAACCCTTCCATATTGGTGAATATGGAAAAATTCCTTTAAGTGGAGAACTTCCATTTTATCCAAGGATCGGTTCTGAGTAGGGGTCCGGCCCGGGGAACCTGGATGCAGGGTCTTGGCCCTGGGTCCCTTTGGAGCAGGGGTTTAGAGGACGGTGTCCAGCCTGGAAGCTTGAGGAATCTGGTGCCTGGATATTTTTTTCCCAAATTCCCCTTATTCCTTGATTGCATCAATGGAATCGAGGGATAAAGTGTGTCTAGGTGGACCATAGTCGTTGTATCTCAGCAGATTCCTCTTGAGTAAGGCATCGCTCTAAGCGTCCTATTCTCCAGGTCCCTATTCCCCTTGAGTTAAGTCGTATTCCCCTTGGTAAAATGGCGTTCATTAGATATCTTCAAGGCCTGAGCCTCTTGGAACTAGTTTCTGGCGGAGGCCGACAGTTCGAAATGGGAAAGGCTTTGGTCCTCTGGCGTGTTTTTTTCTAAATAAAGAGATAGGGAAACCCTAGCCGTTCCGCTGATTGGGGGATGCCTTCTTGGTCCGCCGATATTTCTTCTTCGGAAGGGGTGGAAAAATGGGAAATTTCTCATATTCCCTTCTTTCTTTCTCCTTTTTCTGGATTTTCTGTTTTTATGAGGATATGCCCTTTCCTTTTTGGGATCGACCGAGGTTTTTGGCTCAGATATATATCCATACTCCTTTTTCAGTTGAGAAGCACGCCTCAGACCTCAAACACCCTTCTTCCGACCTCAAGAAGATGAACAACCATGTTAACTTTTCGTTGTTTTCGCCTTCATGTGTTGGGGGACATGTCAGGCCCCTTCGCGCTTCTTCGGATTTATTTTCTTCTCCTGTGGCGTCTCCTAAACTACTCTAGGAGCAGACGATGTGATGACACCTCAAGCTCCTCTCAGAGCATACTCTTTCGCCTACCTTATGAAGTAGGTGATGATGGCCCTCGTTCTAGCATAAGGGAGGAAGACTTGGCCAAGATTCGTAGGAAGTATTCCGTTCCTCACTTAACGGGGCTGAGATGTGCTGGAGAATTTGAACGTGCATCGGACGGTGGCGCCGATGA